ATCAACTCTAGCAGTTGGCATTGTGCCAGTTCGGAGAACTGTTTTCGACATATGGAGGCAGTATGGTATTCTTCAGTTGCAACTGATAACGCTCTGTGTGGCAGCGGACCTTTTCCGCTCGAAGGGTGGAACCGACGGTGAGTTTATTTCTTGCGCTGTCCTGATCTTCTCGAGGGGTTTCTGACACGATGTCGAAACCGCTAGAGTTGATGAGGCGCTTGGTGGTGTAGAGCGTAAGTCTAACGCTTGAAACACGTTCAGGCCTCTGAAGACGACGATTCAGTCGAAACGTTAGGCCACTTAATAAATGTTCCACCGAACAACCTCGTAAGGCACAAGAAATTTAACAAACTTACAACTGACATGCCGAGGTTGCGAAAAGAGTCGTAATTGAGTTATACATCGGACCTCTTGATGGTTTCGATAAGCCCCAATTAAAGATGTTGTACTTTCAGTTCTGTATTTTCTCCGCATTTCTTGGAACGAACAACACCTTCTGGGGTTGGGAGATTTTCTCAGATATATGGAGCGGTCGAGAGTGGAACGTTACTGGCCACTTTCCTAGAGTCACCATGTGCGACTTCACGGTGAGATTTTCCAAGAGTGCTGTATATTTCAGTGTTGAAGGCATACATTGTTTGAGGTACGAGTTCTCGGCGCTCTCCATCGATGGACCGTGCAATGTGTTTTGATGATCAATATGTTTACCGAGAAGATTTACGTCTTCCTTTGGTAAGAATTGGAGTTAATGATAGCCGTGACAATTTACTCAGGTTATTTAGCAGCCATACTGAAGGCATGCAGCTAATGTGGTTGGCTAACCACATGTTTCGATGAGTTTAGAGAGTTATTTTGAAGATCAAATCCACACATTCTACATGCACAGGGATAAAAGTGAACGTTTGGGAGCAAATCGTGAGCCACCATTGTGGACTGGCGTACTTGTCGGCAGCAGAATGTGACTGGCCAACAGTCAGAGCAGGATCAACCCATTGTAGGAGAATTCTCACCTGGAACGTCGTCTTTATGATTTCTGGAATAGGAGAGGGGGGAGGTATGATAGATAGCATCATCACTGGTAAGGAAAGGTACGGAAATTTTTCCGAGATGCTTCCCCCCACCCTTGCCTCCGTCGATTGACGTTTGGAGACGGAAGGTGCTAGGCAGCTCAGGCTCATCATTAAATTGACTTCCATTCTCTCCAAAACCCAGTGGATTTTACTCGATCAGTAATCCGCCGTCACCCCACACAGAGCGATCTCGTTGTGACATCCGAACCCATTTAGAAGAGTTTGTATTCCATCTTCCATGAAATTGAGAAGCGCTAAGCTTAGTTGAGCTGATGTAGACTCCGTCCGTGGAGGTAACAGCTACTCACCGATGACAGCGGTAGCTAAGCGATGCTGTAAGCTAGTGGCGTCAATTGACGCATTCGAACTCCTTCTCATGCCTGTGAGTTGATTCTTGATTTTTTTTCAGGTTTTGGTTCATTCTGGTTGGCATTCTATCTGTGATTTCGCTCATATACTGGGTGGTAGCTCTGGTTGGTACCAACTTTCAGCGTGGATTTGTAATGAAGTAAGAATGCTTCTCAAATTTCATTTTTCTTTTGGAGATTGGATATTATTGACCGAGTAACCACTTGAAACTACAAAAAACCTCTATTGTTAGGCTATTTGCTCACCTTTTTTTAAATTCAATTATCATTTGGTTGACAGTTGAACTTCATCAGACCAAGGCCACTTGTAGCTTATCCTTAATATCTGATCTCAGATTTCTTCTACGTGTTTTGTTGTCGAATGCTATTATTTGCTTCCTTCAGTTATCGCTTGCTATCGTTTTGAATCAAACGTTCACTGCTACAGTCGGGCTCACTGTCGTTGTCGCCCTAATCCGGCCAAAATTTTGCACTGCTTTTTCACTTGCTTCGATTTAGTGAAGTTCTTCGCCGTCATCCACAATTGTTTGCTGCGATTGTTGGCGCCTGCTATCTTGTGGTCCTTCATCTATCGTTTGATGGGGTCTCATCCAGTAAGAGGGGACACTGCGGTGCACAGTCTGCTATAGTGTTCGGCTCAAAGAGTCCTCTGAAGACAAGCTGCTGTCAGCTTAATTTCTACCTTCAGTTTTTTGTATGATGTATATGTCTTTGGCTGGAAAACATAAACGTCTATGAAAAAAATGTGCACCTAGTGGGCAGCTAGGACAAAGCCTAGAAATGGGGAGTAATTTCCTGGGGAATGGAAGACTGCTCATGGACGCAGCGTCTCCTCATCCCCCTTATAAGGCTTAGTCCTAAACGGTTACAATAAAAGTACCCAAATATCCGATAGATAAGCCCGCGCCGAGATCACTTAACATATCATATTACTTGCGGCGAAATAGGTTTCATTTTTAGCGGTGGCGCCATCTGGCGCCAGTTTTCACCAACTTCGGTAAGGGTTATTTGGTGCCTGGCTACGAATATGACATTCGTTTTTGGCATTAACGTTGTTCAACGCATATTCTCGGTTGGAGAGCGCAGACGAGCAGAAAATAGGCGCCAAATAGCGCCAGCGCCGAGAATGAATGTCATATTCGTAATCAGGACACCAAATAACCCCTATACGAAGTTTACACCAAATTTGGTGAAAACAGGTGTCGTGACAAGGTGACGCCAACTGGCGCCAGATGGCGCCACCGCTAAAATGAAAGTCATTTTCGTAATCAGGGCATCGAATTACCTCTATAGGCAAATTTACGGTAGTTTCTAAGGTGTACAAAATTACACTGCACGAGCGGAGGTGTTTTTACGTGATATCGGCGCGGGCTTATCTACCGGAAATTAGGGTATATTCTTTCTGTTGTTTTGGATGCGTTCAGCGCTTTGAATATTGGTGCCCCCTCTTACTGGATGAGACCCGCTTGATGAAATACGAGAAGGCTCAATGCATGCATACGTGCTGAATTTGCTAAATTTCTGAATGTTGCACTCGTAGACAGACTTGTTTCGGTTACTATTAACGTTTAGCAAAATTATAACTGCTTTGACTCGTTTGCTAATTCTGTCAATGACTTCAGATACCTAAGGTGCATGGGCGAGATCAGCGAAGAGCCAACTCGTGTGGAAGATGAGAAAGTGAACGGATTTGTTCGCAACTACCTGACATCCGACGGCGTTTTCCTGTTGCGACTTATACAGGTGAGACTGCACTTTCCTACACATCTGCTCCACCCTTGCATTCTCACAATTACAGACAAATGGTGGCGATATTCTTGCCGGTGAGATCATCGCCTCTATGTTCCGCCAGTACAACGAACGCCGAAAGGCGCCGATGTCCGAGGATTCGTTCGGTGACTCGCCGGACACGACAGCGACGCTTCCGCGATAGATCATTGATGGGCCACGCCCATATAAACACGCGAAAATAGGTGACATCTCCTTTTGGTGGGAGGCAACACGATAACTCGTCCGACGAGCTTCTGATTATCTCTTGGTCATATGTTTCAATGTTGAAATACATGTAATCTACTTTGTACACGTCATTCGATTGATACTACTTCACTACATTCCCGTGCTTATAAGAATTTTGATGAGATATTTGATATTGTGATACTTTTTTAATGTCGTTACTGAAAATTTTACCTTCTGCGGAGATTTAATAAATTAGCAGTTGTGGAACAAAATTTATTAGAACAACAAACAAACTGGAATGCTGGTAATGACCTCGCAAAACGCTCGAATCACTGGTACAGTATGATTCATCTATGCAATCCACGCACCTGATTGTTCAAAATGTCGGCCAGCAAAGTGAGCAATGACTGATTCGCATAATTCTCACCTTAACAATCAAAGCGATTTTTGCTCAGTAGTACTTAATACTGTTAAGAATACGATCATGTTCGCTTTCCTTACCGATAACATTCAGCAGCGCCGGATCCGCTTCTGCATCTTCGTCCTCCGAAGCAGACGATTCAACCGGCGGAGCAGGAAAGACAGTATTTTCGAAATCCGGCATGCTTTCGTCGGACGAGTCACTCATCATTTCAAAGTCATTCTCGATGTTCGGCACCAATTCATAGTCATCCTGGTTGTTCGGCATCATTTCATATCCATTCTGGTTGCTCGACATCATTTCGTCGTCATTCTGGATGTTTGGCTCAAATTGCTCTATGCCTATGTTCTCCATCATGCTGACAGCCAGATCTCCCGTAGTTTCGTCGTCGTCATCGTCACTATCGATCAAATTGAGCTCGTTCAAACTCATCAAGTCCATCAACTCGTAATCAAAGTCCTCATGGTCTGGCTGACGGCTGTCGACTTCGACGACTACTACCCCACTCTCGTTTTCACAGACAGTCAACTGTTTGTTTTTGTCCCTGGTATTCATTTCATTTAGACCCAGCTGAGGCGTTACATTCTCCACTTCGACGTTTTGATCCTCCGCGCTCTCCTCCTTGAACTCCTGCAAAGCACAATGATCACTTCGCAGTCTAAGGGTTAGATGGAATGACATGTCGCAACTACACATTTCGCATCATCATTTTTTGCTGTTTGAATGTTAAATGACGAAAAATGTGTATTTCGTGAAAGTCATCAAAGTGTGCTGTGCCTCATTGTTAGACTTCATCCAAAAATATAAAAAGGCTTTGATATGCGCTGGCATTAGAAGTTCTCCCCCTTCCCTCCAAAAAATGATTTGATATATATTGCACATATTTTTCATATTACATTTTTTTGACATTACAGATTTTACAGTGCCACTCGGAGCAAATTGTTTTGCCCATAGCATAACAATGATGATAGAATTAGATCAGGTGAAGGCTAGAAATGAGATATTTCGGCCGGAAGAACCGATCCCGCAAAATTGTGAGAGCCAGGCGGTGCTTCTAGCTCTGTCTAGGTCTACAAAAAAATGATTGTGTACCTCAGCATCTGAAAGCCACCCATATAGATCTTTAACCCTTTCGGACCTGAATTTTTCCCCGTGGAGAAATTTTTCTTCTAGCTATTGTTTATTACTTGTGAGCATATAGGTATCATTATGGCGAAATTTGGAAGCTATTCGATCACAAACAAAGAAACTAAGAAGCTTTGAAAATTGGCCCACCTTCTTAGTTTTTAAGCTTATGTCGAAACAATTCGAAATTTCATAGTTATGCCGAAAAAGTTTATAATCTTGCATAACATTATAACCCATAATTTTGATTTAGGAATGGATCTACTTCAAGTATTTTAAGAAAAAGTGACACTTACTTGGCCGGTTGCGGGGACCAGCGCCGATTCATTGTTGCACTTGTACACAAATACTTGTAATACTAACAGCAACACACAATGAAATGGCAGGTTTAGCTCATAATTAGGAAGGGGAAGGTTGACTGAAGCAAGCAGGATTAGAAAAACCATGCTGTTTCAGCGGCAATGCAAGCGTTTGAATTTGGTGGTGGCAATTGCCACCGCCAGGGCCGAAAGGGTTAATGACCAAGGTTTTCTTAATGATATCAGTTTATGTAAAAGAGAGACTTGTTTTTTCTCAGTGAACAATGGATAAGCAGTCAGCTGCTCAAAAATATGGGAGAAAGAATAACAGTATTTCATATGACAACAAAAGCAACGTAGTCTTCAGCAGACATGAAGGTGAGGATGTTCATTTCTGATTTTTGTGAAAGTTGCGGGGCGAAGGCGGTGTGCGGTAGCAATTGAAATATTCCAACAAACAACTTACTGGATTCATAACATTACTCTCCTAAGATCTTTTGCGAAAAAGTTGCAGGAATCGCCGCACAATTCAAAGTGACTAAGTGTTAGAGTGTTTCAAAAGTTCAAGCGTATTTTGGATCTCATGCCACAAGCTCCTTCAGCAAATTCAATATGTTCACGTAGGCTGTGGAGAGGGCACAACGTGTAGTAACTTATACCCGAATCATGCCCACCCTAGTCGCCTTCTTCGAGTTCAAAGTGAGAAAAGAAAAGAGCCATGTTTTTCACGCTCTGACTCAAGAACTTCTACTGAGCCACAAACCGATCGAAGCCGGAAGTAACACCTGATCTGCGATACATCTTCTTGTCACTGCCAGACGAGGTATCAGAATACAGATGTCACTGCCAGACGAGGTATCAGAATACTCTCTGCTTAGGGGATCACAGCCTGGAGAACCCTCCTTCAGGAAGGCCATCGGTGTCGGATCTTGGACAGGCTGCGCTCTCTCGTTGAAGTCAATCCACACGGGTAACCTGCTTTGTGGCAATCACACCTTGTTGTTTCAGATGCACAGCTCACAGAGATTTTCGCCTCTTCGTAGAAGGGTTTAAGACTGATGACAGGAAAGCGACACGAGTTCCGTCTATAATTTGTTTCCAACCGTACGCCTGGTTGAACAAAGCCGCTACTGCAGTTGAGAAGCTCAGGTTCCATGACAACCACACCTAGAATCCTCCAGGGACTGGATCGAGACAGAAGAGGGTGAAAAATGAATTAACTCACCTTGCCTCTTTTGAGGTTCTCGAGTTAATCACTACTTATTCACTAGAAGTATCTCCCTCGTTACAGCTATGAAATCAGTCAAGTCTGATGTGATCAGCCGCAAGGATTCACGGCAAAATACCAGCAACTGTCCTTGACACTCAAAAAGTGTACCCGCTTTGCGACAACCGAGACCACGCAGTTTGAAAATGAATATCAAGCTCAGCTGAAACGTCGTACCATCTCCAAGGTGCAGCGGCGATTAACCTTTTCAAGGGACATCTGATTTTTTTTGCTCACAAGGGAAGGATGGTAGTCCGAAGTGGCCGTTTGCCATGATATGTAAAATTCCCTGAGTCTTTTCGAACACTGTTCTCAAATCTAAATTCCATATCTGCTTAACGACTCTCTGAACAAAGTTACAAAGTCTGTTAGGATACGGAACAGACCCAAGCTCGGCACGAATGTGAGACGTATATGGTGCATGGATGGGGCAGCAGCGTGAAAATCGTTGAGAGAACGGCAACGGTTCGGCGAGAGCGATTTTCGCTCTGTTCAACAAGCACCTCTCCACGCACATAAACTCTTGCAACTCGAGCCGCTCCTGCGCTGATGTGAACGTACATTCACTCGTAGTCATTACTTGCAAATTTACTTAAGCCACATACCGGGAGGAATTCTCAAAGCCTGGTATATTTACCTAAGAGACTTCGGCGGAGCTAGTGCAGTTTACCTATGCCAGACCTTAGGCCGATGTGATTGCGACAGTCAGTGTAAGCATCACCATTTGATTATTGTTTTTTTTGCATTTTTCAGGAATTTTCTCTTCACGTTTAGAAACCACATTCCCATTGCTAGGAAACCTAATTTCGCGGAAAATGGCCGTTTCCGAGGAAAAACTGCTAAAGTGTATCTGCCCTCATCTAGAATGTTGTGGTCGCGATGCTCGCTGGCCGTCTCTGTGCTCCCGGCACCATCGCGCAAGTGCCGCCGATGTGAGGGTGTCACCGGAACACAGTATGGCTTGGCTCAAAAAGACGCCTACATACCAACACAAGCATACGCTTCTGGCTGGCATTCTTCGGTCGCGTGAAGAAGTGCAAGCTGCAAATGCTCTTTTTCAAACATGTTTGGATTAACCGACATTGGTGAGAGAACATGTAATTAAAAATTGAAAATTGAAATGCATGTTGAAATGAATTGCTTTGCTTGATGCGAAAAGTATAGCGATTATCTGCTGCTGTAGTCACTCAAATTCTTTCCTTTGACAGTAGAGCCTATGGTCGGAAAACGGAGGAAATATCACAGTTATTCACCGAGGATTCACCAGCCCAACTCCTCGATGTCTTGTTGCGAGATTTTCGAGATTTTCATGACATGTGGTCTTGCATTATCGTGCCATAATTTTTCATTTGCGAAATTTACCCTTTGACGACGCGGAGCTCGGCCCACGTGGTGGAGCTGTTATACGCAGAGTTCAGCTGTAACTGTATAACCCACAATCAGCATTCCGTGGTACACCGTTGCTATACTATATCACATATAAAAACATGACTTTGTTTCCGTGGATGTCTGGTTTCGAAGTCACCCTCAGCTGTCCAAGCGCCCACAGGGTGTCGCTTCTTGCAGGTTGGTATCGAGCGAAACATCTCATTTCTGTAAAAAATGCCCGGCACCAGTGAAGTCCAAGAACTTTTTACTCTTGAAGGTATGAAGAAGAGAAGTATTGGACACTCGCAATGCATTGCCAACCTCGCCAGAATAGGAAAATCACTCGTTTTTATCCTGAAACGCCTTCAACAGAGGCACTTAGAAACTTTCAAACTTTTCTGTTGAACACGCAAAAGGTGTTAATGCAAGTTTGGGCGCGTTTGTTCGAGGAGCGCATCATTTCGTTGGCTCGCTTTATCTTCTTTGTAAATGTAAGCTAAGAGTGTCAAACTCGGATCTGCGGATTCAGGTTCTTTACCTCAGTCTTGGAAGAGCTGAAAACCATAGCTGAAAGTGCATCAGAGACTAAGTGTACTGCTCAATATTTTGCACACAATGAGTGGGATTCGTTGGCCGTTTTTCGTTGCTTGAATATATACGCTCAGACGATGATTTCTGATCAGTCATTTTCAAGCAAAAGTTTTGGCTCGAAGAACATCCGCTCAGTAGCGCCTAAGATTTCGCAATATGCGTACTGAATCGCTCTTTCGAATGAATGTTCTCCCATCCTAGGAGACTTGTGTTTAAGCTGAGAAACAAAGGCGCAAACGGAAGCGACGTTTCAATCGTTCCAACCTAATAATTCCAAATTATACAAACGTCATGCGGCTTGCACACGGATAAGTAAATCCCTTTCCCCATTCGATCTTTCATATTGGTAAATGCGAAAGTGTATGACTTCGGATCAAAATTCTGAACAGCAAATTCAATGTTTGCGCGTCAAAAAGGGAGAAGAAAGCGTTGTCATTTAGTAAATTGAAGATGTGGATGTGGATCCGGATATCGCCGTATTCTCAGCCTTAACGTATCGCGCATGCTAATTCCCATCTTCTATTCCCTGATTAGAGCATTGTGATTCAAGGTCACCAGCCAAAATAAACCAGAATGAAGAGCGCCTATGATAAGGCGGAACTGAGTCGTGAGATAAAGGCTAGCCTTTGCTCCACCGACTTGAATTCAAACGCAGTCAATCGTTCATTGCTGGCTCTGTCATTGAGGTCTGGCCACTGAATGTTACTTAGATGGACGCGCCGCATTGTGAAATTCTTTGATTCAGGAAACTCATAGGTTGCTCGGTAACCGCTACTGTTCGGCTTCAGGCTCTTGAAGAAAAAGATCCAGCAAACGTCATATTTATCAATCTTTATGTACCAGAAAAGGTCGTAAGCGTGTGTAAAACCGACGTGAAAAGTTTCAAATTAAAGCTATTCAACAGCAGGCATGCGGAGAGTTCATTGAACCCATGCATGCGCGAAACACCGCGCCTATAGTACTTCAGCCTGAGGAAGAGTCAGAACCCAGCAGGAAAAACTTTATCATTATAACACACCAAAAATGGGCTT